AAAAAAAAAAAGACATCATGAGGCCGGATATCAGGGGATGGGGTCTCATGCCTGGAGGGTGGGTACAGGCTCCAAGCCCCACCCCGAGTTTCAGCAAAGCTGAGCCCATGAGAGCTGGGGAGGGGAAGCAAGGAGTGGGGAATTGCCTGCTCCCTCTCCCAGCCCACCTGTTCAGGTAGAAGGAGAAGATGTTCTTTTCTACCAGCTTCTGCTCCATCAGGTTGTCAAAGACTGGCAGCACATTGTTGACAGAGATGCGGGGGTAAGCCATGCCCAGGATGCCATCAAACTTGGCCGCAATGAAGGTGACACCTGGCTGCTTGGTGGCCTCTCCAAAGATCTGTTTCTTCACTTGAAGACCCTCTGTGTTAGATGGGGATGATTTACAGGGAACCTGCGGGCCAGGGTGGGCATGGTTGGCCATGGATTCTGTACGTGAATACTCACTTTGTGTACAACTACGAACCCCACCCAGTGACATCCCTCATCTTACCCAGGACAAACAGGCAGGCAGGGAAGCCATGAGCCAAAGGGCTGAAACAGCCAAACACAGAAGGGGAAAAGATGCTGAGCCTGAGTCTGCAGCCCAAGAGGCCAGGGAACCCAACAGCTCCCTAGCTGAGGCCACAGAGATGGGGTGGACAGAGCAGGATGTGGGACAGTTGTATGGGGCTGACAAAGGAGGGAGAGGGTTGGGCAACATCCTTTTCAGTTGGGGACCCAGAGAGAGGAAAGTCCTAAGGACATGATGCAAACAGATCTCTAGGGGTGGGGGCCAGAACCCTCTTGTTCCAGTTTAGAAGGAACAAGGCCTGACCATCCATCAGACAGGGCCTCGATACTGTTATACCTTGGACCTCAAGCAGCGGGTTCAGCTGAGATATCTTCCCCCTTCCCCTCCCCTCCTGAGATGGCACTCCTCTGCCTGCCCATCCTCCAGACCTTTGGCCTTACCCAACATTGACTCGGAGGTATAGTCTATGGCCTCTTAGCCTCTCCTTGCAAGTCCCTCTACCCACAGGAGACCTGATGGCTGTTCCCTAGTGCCCCCCCCCCACTTCTCCCTAGACTCCTCTCTTCTAGTATCCCTGTATAGGTGCTACCTGGCACATTTCGCCCCTTCCAACCCCTCAGCCAGTTGCAGACACCCACGCCCCTGGCCCAGATGACCCCTCAGGCCTGGCCCTGGACACTTTGCTGGCTCTTTGAGCCCAGAATCCATCCTCCCAGCCTGTAGACCACACCACAGAAAGGGAGCCTGCCTCCCATCACCCTCCCTCGGATGCCGCTGGGTCATCAAGGTACAGTCATCCTTGCCTAACCCAGTACAGTCTCTGCTCATCATCTCCTGACTCCCAGTGAGCACAGGTCTTTCCATCCTAGGGGTCCCTTGCTGCCCCGTGGTCTTCACATGACAGGGTTCCCACCCACCTTCCCCACAGAGCACCGGAGCCTTCCTGCCCCACCCTTCACTCACATGGTACCTTTGGCCCAGCAGACTTGTTTCTAGACCCATCTTGCTTCGTGGCCTGCTACTTGTTCTCAAACTCAGCAGCCCCACCCTCACCCCTGGAGTTGGGTTTCACCTGGGCTCACCATGCCCTGTCCTTCAGCCCCACGTACACAGAATGTGAATCCCAGCCACAGCTGACCCCTCCAGCCCCAGGAAAGGTCCTGGAGACTTACTGACACAGTGTCCTGGCTCAGGTACCCAGAAAGGCTGCCCGAACCATAGTGGATGTCAAAGGATGAGCCATTCTTCACATAGGTGCTAGACTTGTCGCTGTGGTACTTGTGGTGGAACCCTGCATGGGGAGGAGAGGGGATATCAGCCTGCCACCAACCTCACCATAGGCTACGCTAACCCACCAGCGGGGCTATAATCCACCATGCCAGGCAGCCCCGCACTGTGGGCTATGACACTCCCAGCCCTGCTCTCAAGACTCGTAGGTGGTCCAGCTCCTAACTCACTCTGGACTGCACCAGCCTGGTCCTCAGCCCTGTTGAGGCCAGCATGAACAAGTTCACCCATAGAGTGGGGTGCCCTGGGGCAGGGCAGAGGAGCCAGTCTGTCTGATGTGGTTGAGAAGTCAAGCACACATTGCCCAAGAAATTTCCCAAGGCAGGGAAACCAAGAGGTCCCAGGCTTGCCCCATCTCCCGGATAGTCCTACCAGCATATACCAGAAAGGCAGGACTCCCTGGAATGAAAGCAAGTGTTTCAAAAAGTGCAGTGGACACGACCACTGAAGGCCCCCACGCCAGAGATTCCGCTGACCACAGGGTCCTGAGCATGGGTGTGTGCACAGGGTGCACAACTGGACATCTGGAAGGGGACAGAGCCCTTGGTCTCCCCTCTGGGAACCAGGGAGAGACTAGGGACCGGAGGAGATAGGGGAAGACTCACAGCAGGCTACATCGAACATAGTGCAGTGGGAAGAGGGGACCCACAGGTTGGAGGAGCCAGTGTCGAAGACGACTGTGAAGCACTGTGCCGGGGTTCCAATGCCGATCTCCCCGTAGTACTGAGCCTGGTGAGAATAGTGTGCATCAGTGTAAGCAGAGGCACCCCAGCTCCCCATTGGGCCCGAGAGGGGCCCTGGCTGTCCCCAGCTGCAGGGAGAAGGGTTCTGGAATCCACTTTCACCTGCTGTGCCTGGCAGGTGTCTGTAGGAGGGGTGAAGAATGGGAGTCCTAAGAAATAGGCGTCAGCCCCAGAGCCCAGGCCTTAGGCTCACAGGCACTTGTGGTTTTTCTCCCCAGAACTGTGGCACCCACCTGCTGCACGGCAGGGCCAGGCCAAGGCCATACTATTCAGAAAATGAGGCTAGAAGTCAGGTCTGGCTCTTGATCTGGGCCTAAGTGCTGTAATGGCTGGCTTGGTAGACCTCGCCACTGCCTGGGGGGTTGGGGTGGGGTTAAGGGTCAAAGAGGGGCACACTTCTTTCCCAGTCCATGTCTGATTCTGGTGGCCTCAGTTCTTGTAGTCTGGGGTCAGCTGGATCCCATGTGCCTGGCCATCCTGCTTCCTGAAGGGGATTTGGTACACTCTACACAGGACCCTGGCTCTCACTCCACCAGTCTTCCAACCAATGGGCCCCATGGAGCAGTGGCTACAGGCTCCTGACCCAAGACAAGAGGGTGTGACTTGGCAAAGCTCCATGTGTCTTGTGTGTGCACATGCTCTGAGGGGATTGGCACTGGCCAGTGGCCCCCGGGGAAGGCGGCCCCCCACCTTCCTCAGAGTCACATGCTGTGTCTCAAAGCTTCCTGTCATAGCTAGGGCTCTGGCCAAATAGGCTAGAGAGCACAGTCACCTCCCAACAGAGCAGCCACAAAGCTCATACTAGATAGTGGCAAGGACTTCTGAGACTCGCTTGGAAGCAAGGTCTGAGGCTACTGGAGAGATTCCAGTGTTTGGTACTGAACCTGCACCTAGAGTTGGACCAGGCTGGCCAGGCCCAGTTTGCTATTATGGCTTCCAGAACATCCCGACCTGGAACCTATTTCCATCTCAAAGACAGTAGGCACAAAAGCAGCTGCTTACCAGAAGATAGGTGAGCGGATGGGACGACACAGTGTCGCCCCAGGCCTCCCATGAGACAGGTAGGAACAGAGGCTCCAGTTATACCCAGGCAGGCACAAAGGCCTAACCCTGGATTCACACCCCACAGCATGTGAAGAAAGATCAGGGCATGGCTGGGATTGATCTGAGGCCCCTTTGTGCCCTACAGTCCTGAGGATTAGACATCACTATAGCTCTGAGCTGGTGGTCAGTGCTCTTGGTGGCAAGGCCAATCCTTAACCTATCCTCTTCTTGCCAGCAAGAGAATCCCAGAAAGGTGGAGTAGGGCTGAGGAGGGAAGGGTGTGGCCAAACGCAGCGCCACTGAAAAGAGCTACCAGTGTGGAGCTCTGACTGCTGAGTAACAAGGCAGTTTGCACCTTCTGCTTTACACAGCCAGTGCTCCAAACTCACACACTTAGTAGTGCACCCCTGCCCCAAACTTACATCTAGGTAGTTTCTCAGTAGCTCAGGAACCGGCCCTGTGGTCTTGGTGGACAACTGTGGTGAGTACTTAGTCAAGGGACCACTGGCAATCAGGTCTTCCATGGAGCCCCCTGCCTCCGTCATGGTGTGGCGAATGGACTTGAACTTGTGCAGGGGAATTCTGTGAAGATGAGGTGGGGAATGTCACAGAGGGGCCCCAGACACTCCCGTTACCTCTCACCCTAGTATACCCCAGCAGAGTAAGGGCAGCCCTCTAGCATGCTGAGACCACCAGATGCCCATCAGCCACCTCCCTCTGGGATGGGTACACCTGGGTATTTCTGGAAACCTCAAACTTTGCATGGCTTAAATCAAACTCCTGCCCTACACAAAACCTACTGCCCCAACAGCCCTCAAATCACCAAACAGCCAGCCCACGTGGCTCAGGCCCAAGACCTGGAAGGCCCTGTACCCTACGGACTCTGCTCCAGTTCATACTTTGTACCCCACATCTAAGGTGGAGGCCTGTGTAACCACCTCTGCTGCTCCCAATCACCCTCAGTCACTCCAGTAGTCCCTGCTGGTCTCTAGTCTTTGTGTACTTGTAGTCGCATCCAGGATAGTGACCAGTTGAGTCTGGCTAATGTGCTGCCTGGCACCTGGTGCCTCCACCTGAGGCCTTCTGTGGCATCTACTACACCTGGTCCTCTGGCCACATCCACTCTCCAATTGGACTACATGCTGACGTGGTCCCTCCTAGGCCTGCAAATGATGGTTCTGCCAGCCTGACTTCCTTGGTGGACTCTCCTGGCCATCAGAGGAGTTTCAACACCAGCCCTAAGCCAACGCCGAGGACCCCAGCAAGAACTGCTTCCCAAGCATCATATGCATCTGTGTGCATATACATCCCAACCATACACATCCTTAAGGACTGCCCCGAGGCACCAGAGGTCCCTGAGAGTCCTCCATAGGGCCCCTGGCACTCTGGCTCAAGGCATTCCTCCAGAGGTCAGACTCAGGGGGCCTTGGGGGAGTCTGACTTGTGCAGGAGGGAGCTGGTTCCTCCCTGTTCTGGTACATGGGGCTCTATCATCACACAGTAGAGTGAGGGAAGGTCCCTGCCCCACCCCCTGAGGTTACTGGCTCCTTAGTCTGAGTTTGCTAGTAGGAGAGGGCACTCCTAACTGCTAGGTGAACCATCTTCCCTGCTTCAAGGATTTGAGCCCAAGGTCAAAGATATCTATTCAAGGACAGGCTCTAAGATAGGATTCTTGCTTAAGGGTTGGAGGCTGGGAAAGCCAGGTTCTGGCCTGGGAATGGACACACCTTCCAGGGATTTGAGATACATGTGCCATCAATCCTAGGAGACCCAGGATGAGGTGTAAGGGGCTTCCACTCCTGTGTGCCACTCCCTTCCCTACTGCTATCTCTGGCTTCCCAGGAAGGGAGGGCAGAGGGTGGAGCAGGCCAGGCTGGGGCTCTCTCAGGCCTGTGCTGCACCTTTCAATGGCACCAACTGAGGCTACCTGCCTGCAGACTGCAGCCCACGGGCTTTGGCAAAACTCAAACCCACAGCCTTTTGGCAAAACTCAGTCTTTCCCAGCTCCCTGCCCCCAACCTGTCCAGCAAGCTCCCAGGTCCTGGCAGCCTTATGACCTCATCCACCCACCTGCTATAGGCAACAGCAGGGCCCAGCAGAGTGGAAGGCTGCAGATGCCTCCCACAAAGGCCCACCTCGCACAAGAGGCAGGTCCCAGGACCCTCCACCCTGGGCCACCTCCTTTTCTCTAGGACTTGTGGGACTCTAAGGTACCCAGGTGCCTCTTCTCCCAGGGCCTATGGGAAGATATCCTGAAAAAACTGGAGGATACTCTAGTTCACAGCTAGCAAATGTGATCCCCTAGAGGCAAGTGTCATGCTTAGATTCAGGAGGCTCCATGGCCTACTCTCCAGTCTCCTGATCCTGCCCAGTCTCTGAGTACAGACACCCTCGTCTGCCTATTATGAATGCGCAAAGACCCTGAAAACCTGAGTCAAGCCCGCGTCCCAGCCAACCTCCTGCCCTCTCCTGGCCCACAAGGCCGATGCCAGGTGGTGCGGGCGGAGGGCCCAACCCTGCGGTCCAAGCTCAGGGGCGCCGCTGAGGCCAGTGAGCTCTGCAAGAGGTCGCGCAGGACACAGGTGTTTGCATTCCCGTACCCGGGCGGCAGGCGAGACCGGGACAAGGGACCCCCGGGGGACCTCTCACCTAATGAGCGCGGTGGTGGAGTCGGCCAATAGGCCGAGGGCGAGCAGCATGAGCACAGGGAATTGCATGGTGGCGGCGGCAGGGTCCAAGGGGAGTGCCTAAAGTCGCTCGCTTATAGCCGGGATGACGGCGCAGTCGGGGCGGGTCAGCTGACCGGCTTGTTTGCCCCGGGTCTGTCACGTGGATTACGGACAACGGAGCTGAGGGCGGGGACAAGGCGGGAGGACCCAGGCTGCGCACGCCTCCCGGCCCCGGCGCAGGCGCACTCCGACGGAACCCACCCAGCCGGCGCCCGGCGCTCCGCGCTCTAGAGCGCGCCTGCTGCGGGCCCCGCCTCCACGCCTGAATCTTGGTTTCCCGGGCACGCGCAGCCCGTGTTTTGGGGGAGGGGAGCGACTCTCGCCCCCCTTCTCTGTCTCTGCTCCGACGGAGGTCCTCAGGCCTGCTTTCACTCCCTGCTCGGGTGAATTTTCCGAAATGTGCTGCGGGCTTCCAGATGGGCCTCATCCTCCATTGCTAAATGCCCACTGCCCACCCTCCTTTCCCGCAGAACCTTTCTGGGGGCGCCCTAACCTCCATCCCCCCTGCCAGAACTTGGCCATCAATAACATGGCGCTGATCTCTGGTGGGCCGGCCGCTGAAGAATGCTGAGTGTGGAGTCAGATTAAGGACCAGGCTCCCCAGCACCCATGAAAGGCCTCAGTCTGTGCCGAGCCTTGGTCCTCGGGGACCATATGGGTCGCATGTATTTGTTGAACATAGTGTGGGGAGCTGAGCTAGGCGCTGTCCCTGGGCCCCCTGGAGCTCAGCCCAGTCAGAGGAGGGGATCTTTGGAAAGTCATTTCAGAGAAGGATCCCGTCAAAAAGAACATGCAAGGGAATATGAAGTCTGGGATTTCCCCCCCCGGGGGGGGGAGGGTGAATATGCTTGGGAGCCTTCAGGGGGCTCCTTCATGGTGCACCGTTCTACAGACCCTTGTAGTACCCCACTTCTCAGGGAGACGGAGCAGTGGTGCTCCAGCAGATGGGGTTGGAATTTCCCTCTTCTGTAACCAAGTGAATCAGCCTCCACTTGCTGGGTCAATCTGGTGGCCATGGGTGAGTGACCACAGCCTGGGCCCTGCCTCCGCAGCCGTCCATGTGGGTTTACGGTGTATAAGGGAGCACAAGCGTCCTTAGCAAAGCTTGCGTGCAGGGGCTGGTGAGATGGCTCAGTGGTCTGGAGCACCTACTTAGAACAAGCTTAGCAAAGCACAGGGACCACGGTTCAGTCCCCCAGCACCACATGCCAGCCAGCCCCGTCCCCTGGGGCTGAGCTGGACACACACACACACACACACACATAAATAAATAAAGTTTTTAAAAAAAAAAAACAAAACAACAAAGCTTGCTTGCATGCTTGCCCTTGAATCTGACCACCCCCACTGGTGGACATCCTTGGATGTCCTTGGAGCAGTTCAAAAGCAAGCTCTGGGACCTGGAGTCCTCACGTTCCTCACTGTGGGCTCCTTTTGAGGAGCTACAGCTGGGTTCTGAATGGACTGTAAATAGCTTAAGTAGGGCATAAAAGGTCCCCTAAATCATGCTGTGGCTTGAACCCTGCCATGGACAATGAAGTGTGTCCCAGAATCCTCATGGACAGAAGCCACTGAAGAGAATGAGCATTATAGAGAGCATGACCAGAGGTGGGGCCTGGTGGGCAGCTGGGAGCCTGTGAGGGAGGCGGGCCCTACAGGGAGCCCCTGCAAAGGAAGCAATCTCTACAGGCATCTGGAGAACTCTCCTTCAGAGGGCTCTGGTGGTCCTATGATTTCCCCATACCTAGAGCAGAGCCTGGTATGTAGAAGGGTCTCGGTATCATCTGGGAGGGATGAATACCTGAATGAGCGTCCTGGAAGGGGACGTAGCCAGGTCTGCAATTCTGTCTTGCACCTACTGTGGTCCAGGGATCCCTCTTCTCAGCCTTGTCCTTGGGCACATGGTGGGAGCTGGGGAACAAGGCCCTGCTTCGGCCCATTGTTCATGGGTTAACTGTGGTGGACTTAGTGGTACTCTGGTCTCCAACTGCACAGAGGAGTTTCTTAGGGAGCCACGAGTTCCAAGCCAAGGGGGCCACATGTGGAAGGGACATGAGATATCTCTGGTACACAACCTGCAGGGAGGGAGGAGGCAGTTACCTGGTTGTGTCACATTGTCATGTAATTGGATGCCTCTAGCTCTCAGTCTTTGTTTTGGGGCAATGAAGGTTGAAGCTGACAAAACAGCAAATAGCAAGCCATAGAGAAGGACCAAATGTGTGTTTATTAGAAAGAATAAAAGGAAAGCTCGCTAGTAGTTGGAGAGGGGTGTTCCCTAAGGACACTGTGGAAGTTCAGGCTCAGGAGTCTTTATATAATTTTTTGGGGGGCTGGAGAGATGGCTCATGGGGGCTGGAGAGATGGCTCAGTGGTCTAAAGCACCTACTTGGAACAAGCCTGGCAAAGCACAGGGACCGCGGTTCGATCCCCCAGCACCACATGCCAGCCAGCCCTGCCCTCTGGTGGGCTGAGCTGGGGACACACACACACACACACACACACACACACACACTAAATAAATGTAAAAAAAAAAAAATTTTTTTTTGGTACCGGTGTACATGACAGAAAGCAGGGCTGCTCCTGGTTGCAAGTCAGCCTTTGAGTCCACATCTGGAGTGCAAACTGCTTCATTTGTATTTTTTTTCTTCCAAGATCTGTTTGTTTAAGGATCTAATCTTTGTCCCTTGCATTTTATTAGGTCCTGATGGTCCACTTTGGTAGGCCTGCAATTTTGGTTGAGTGTTCAGGATCTATGTCCTGTTTATCTACTACCTTCCCCTATCTTCCGGCTTCAGAATTCCGGAATATCTTCTGGCTCTATAATTTCTGCCTGAAGGGCTATCCCCCAGAGGAGTCCCAGCTGCCACAGGCCTGGTGGGAAGATGCCTGTCTTCCCGTAGGGCTGAATTTGTGGCCATAACCATGGCAAGGTGGCTCTGCCCTGGCTTCCTACAGCCTGGCAAAGCCCTAGCCTACCTCAAGGATGTCCCCTTGGGTGGCTCCTGTTCTGTCCAAGCCCTGCAAGTCCTGCCCACTGGCCCACCCTCCCTGTCCCACCATGGCTGGGTTCCTAGTCTGTGCTCAGGAGGGCAGGTGGCTTTCCCCACAGATTCCGACCCTGCTCTCTAAAGCAGCCCCTGCCATAGCTTGTGGGCATGGCATCTATTGGTTAAGGACTTGTTTCAGGTCCTGTTTGCCCCAAGAAGTCAGGCCTGGCTTGTCCTGTTTTGCCCAGGAGGCAGCATAATGGTGGATATCCTCTGGAACCATGTATTTCGCTTCGACCAAATTAACAGCAAGTCACTTCTTCTGTTATTCCATGTGCCAGGCCTTGTGGTCTCTGCAGTGCTTTTGAGACAGACGCCATGCCTGTGAACTCTTGAGACCCCCTGCCTTACCCTGGTGTGTCTGACTTTCCCCCCTTCCTCTATGGGTGTGTCTGCTTCCCTTCTTCACCTGTGCCTGTCTTACCCCTCCCCAACCTGTTTCTGGCTCCCTCTCCTCTTCTCTTCCTCTCTCTCCAGTCTGGTTGGGCTCACTCCTGACCCCCACCCCTACCCCCAGCTGTGCTGGCCGCCAGCTCTAGTATCCTTGCTCAGCTGATCCATAGCTCTTTTCCTCCTGTGTCCTCAGCTGTCCCTGAAGGCACTGGGCCTGGCCCTGAGAAGAGTGACTCAGTCAGGAGGGGGAGGGGCTCCTAGGGTAAAAGGGTGACTCAGCACCTCCCACTGCCCCCACCCCACCCCACCTGCTCTGCTGTGACAGAAACCACTTCCTGCCCAGCTCTGGGCCAGCCAGCCTTCTTGCCCCTCTGCCTTCCCAGTCCACAACCCCTTTGAGGAGCACTAAATAGAGTTGGATGGGGTGTCACAGAGCCTTTGTCTGAGGGTGGTAAAGCCTGGGTTTGCTCCTGGGAGGGCAAGGCCACCCAGCTGGGTGGCGGGGAGGCAGCATCCCAGTTGAAGCTGGTGTCCCTTCTGACCCTCCTGTGCCCATAGTGCTCTCTGGCTCTCCCTTTTCTGGTCTCTTGTGGAGGAGTAATATCTCTCTCAGGAGCTGGGGGGGGGGTAGGGTACAAAGGGTGGGGGTGGGGTGTGTGGGCAGGAAGCTGAGGCTGGACCACAAGGTATCACCTTCAGAGGGGCAGAGTGAGGAGGGAGAGATATGAGCAGCCACACCCCAAGCCTGAGCCCTGGCCTGGCCCAGGCACCCTGCAGGCTGTTGTGGGCACACAGCATCTCAGGATTGGATTCAGCAGGCTAGATGCAGGCAGTGCCACTGTCCCAGCTGGGTCTGGTTCTGTTCTTGCCCTAGGTAAGTACAGCCTTTGTTTGGCCTCTACTTTTGGGGGCAGCAATACTAAGACCCCTCCCATCCACTCCACGGAGCTGGCAGAAAATGAGTGAAAGAGGGCCTGAAAACCACGGCATAGAGAGAGACCTGGGATGGGGTGAGAGCCAGCACAGAGAGTGGGGCCCATCCTCTTCCACCTGCCTCTGAATCTGAGGCCTGGGCTATCCTTCCCGCCTCTCACATCCTCAGGGCCCCCTACTCTGCCTGGGGCTAAGACCCAGCTCCTAGCCCGTCTCTTTCAACATAGCCCATCATGCTGGACCATGCCCAGATAGCCTTAATGTTCTGTCCTTGCTTATTAATGGTGCCTTTTCGGAAACACAGGTCATTGATCCTACTGGAGTGCACTTTATCAGCTTTCCCTTAAAGGAAGTTGAGGCTTTTTTTTTTTTTTTTTTTTTTTTCTTTTTCTATTTAGCCCAGTGGAGAGGCACAGGCCTATAATCCCAACACCTAGGAGGCTGAGGCAAGGGAATTGAGAATTTGAAGCCAGCTAGAGCAACTTAACAAGACCCTGTCAAAAAAAAAAAAAAAAAGTCTGCTACCTTGCAGAGGGCCCCCACCTTCACCATATTGCTCCCAGGGGGGCTGTGGGGGTGGGTGGGAGACCATGCTGAATGTTTTCCAAGTCACACCACAGGGAGGAGGAGACACCGGAGCTCATTGCTTTCCCTGACCCCCACATCAGGACCAAGCGTTCTCCGTGGGGAGGTGGTAGCCACACTCCATTCCATAA